CTCTTTCCACACACATTCCCACACTCCTACACACACAATCTCTCTAACTCTCTGTCTTTCGCTCTCTTTAAAAGTGAACCATTTAGCAAGCCATTTAGCTTGCAAACTTAACTGTTAATTCAATTATGAAACATCATTATCAAAGACCGCATTGTGTCTGTGTAGACCATAAACGCATTACCGCCACGCTAATGAAGAGTTATGCTGAAGCAGAAGAAGCAGCAGCAGCAGCAGCAGCAGCAGACTAGACTTCAATAATAAAAGCGGCGCCTATAAAAATGTTGGCCCATTAGCATAAACGAGGCGAACTTCAAACAAGCCGTCGCTCCTTTTGCAGTCCATTAAAAGTGCAAAGAAATACACACACACACACACACACACACACATCTATATACATATATGTATGTATGTATAAGTACATGTTTATATATGTTTGTCTGGTTCGCTGAGCTTAATGTGGTCAAGGTAAAGTCGTTGAAAGGACGCGTCGGGGGACTCGGCCCAACTGCAGCAACTTCTGCAGTCAGTTGCATGAATTATTAATTAACCCCAAACAATTAAGAGTGAAATGTTTTCCCAGAAATAAGAAGGGGGGAAATAAAAATAATAATAAGAAAATAAATTTTTGTAATTACAAACAGAGTTTTTGAGCTGGAAAATGGCATAGGGTGAACGTATAAAATATTTTAAAATACATTCAAATGAGCGGTGGGGGAGGAGAATTCATTTGCAAAGCCCCACCGATAAACAATGTAGATTGTAATTAACTGTACCGGAGTAACACGCAGGTGCACTGTGAGCCCCATCGAATGCCCGCCAAGTGCGTCGCTGAGTCCTGGGCTTAATTGCATGCGCACAGGACAGGACACTGGCTAGCCTGCGAATGAATGAATGACATTCATTTTCGTGCCTTCTTTTCAGCATTTCATTTTTTTCTGTTGCACTTCCGTTTGCCACAGCGGAAGAAGTTGCCAGATAAAAGCAATCCGAAGCCGGGCGTTGGAATCGGAGGGACGAAGTAGAGCCGACAAAATGGGCAGGAGCATAAAGTTACAGGACGTGAACACGACTGAAGGACTCGAGCGCACTCGAATTTCATAAAGCATTCTCAATGAAAATAATTAAAATGCGTCGAGCGTTCAAAATCAAGCAGCATGGAAATTTAATTGTATTGATGGCAGCAGCAGCAGCAGCAGCAGGAGCAGCAGAGGCAACAGCATCAGCAGCGGCTGAAAAATGGGGGCGCCACACCCACGCCCAGATGATAACGAATGGATTCCCAATTGCATTGGGGCGATAAATGAGTTTTCTCACAGGTGACAATGTTGAATGCAAACAAAATACCATCTTAAATCGAATGCAAACGTTGATAAATCGAAACAGCACAAAAGAATCGATGAAACAATTTCTGCTGCCTGTTTACAGGTCACAGAAAATTATCAACTATGAAGTGCTCAGGGCGTAAAAAATGTGATGGAAGCACAAATCAGATTATTGGAGCGAGAGTTGTCAATTATACAGCAGATTGAGGAGAACCTAGCAGAGCTGCAATTAAATAAATTCAAACAGATCATCCACATATCTAATTTAAAAATCCACATAATATTGACTTGAGTCTCTATTATAGATGATACATGCACATAGAGCATATTGCTTTTCATCTGTTTTTTCGCACAATTCGTATAGTCAATGGACTAGGATGTAACCCAAGGACACCGCAATTCCAGTACAATAAACACGCCCATACACCCATACACACATAGTCGCGATGGGAACTCACAGCTGTCATTGATAATAAACAGCAAAATATGGGTAGCATTGAAGAAAAGGAGGCATTGAAGACGAAATAC